TTGGAAGCGTTTTTTCTCACACTTACTTTTTATTTTTTTCAGTCGTGCAGCACTGTTCTCCTGGGTTTTAGACTTGCTCTTGCCCGTTGTTCTCTACGTATACATGAGAGGAAGCCTTACGCATACCTGCCGTGGGCGGCTGCATTTACACATCAACACTCACCGCCGAAGAAGGCGTTGACTGCCAGCGAAGGNCACAGGGGGCTGCTTTCCCGTTGGAAGCGTTTTTTCTCACACTTACTTTTTATTTTTTTCAGTCGTGCAGCACTGTTCTCCTGGGTTTTAGACTTGCTCTTGCCCGTTGTTCTCTACGTATACATGAGAGGAAGCCTTACGCATACCTGCCGTGGGCGGCTGCATTTACACATCAACACTCACCGCCGAAGAAGGCGTTGACTGCCAGCGAAGGGCGGAGTAGCTCGACAAACTTGTGGAAGCTGGCCTTCTCCATGCGGTACGACCGCCGTCAGCCTTGCCGTTTATCGAGGTCCGCCTCGTGTTGGGCCCACGGAAGCCGCTTGGGCTCGTAGATGGGCTCCCGTTCCTGAGGGCAGTGGGCACGATGAGCTTCTCCTGCTGCCACCACGCCCGCCGCCACTACTACGGCCCTCAGAAGACCCAGGACCGTGAATCTCTTGTCTTCCTGTGCTGCATTCTCTTCGTCGATAGCTCGTCGACGGCGCTTCTCCCGGCGTTGCGCTGCGGGGTCTGTGGGATCCTGGCGCTTCCCGCGCTCANTTCGGGAAGCGGTTTGGGGTGTTGGTGGTGTTGTCTAGGTATGGTGTGATGAAGACAGCACGCGTGACCGGTGTCTGCTCCGGTCGTCGAAAAAAGCGGGAAATTTTTCACCCAACAGTAAAAGGAGCAAGCCCAGAAAAAATACGCTTCGCTCTTTTTACGGAAACGTATAGGACTCTCCCTTCTTCCCCTCGCTCCTCGACAAGCTTTTGCTTAGACATGGGTTGTAGCGAAGGGGGGGCTCTTTCCGGGGAGCAGGGCTAGACTCACCCTCAAGGGATGACCGAAACCTTCTTGCTGCTGCGCATCCGCCGCGAGGCGTGCGTGTGGTGGTGGAGTTGGGTCGGCACTGATGGGGTCAGGCGGGAAAATGTAGATGCGCGGGCCTTTCTGGCCGTCGGCGTAGGCAGCACTGATGCCCATCTCATTTTTGTGCGCGGAGGCAGACATCGTCAGAAATGTGGACGGGCACTACACGGCCCTAGGTTTGCTAGAGGGAGCTGTATTGCCTCAGTAACCTGGCTTCGCCATCAAAGGAGGAGGGAGCAGGTGGCGACGAGCTGAACTAGGCTGGTTGAC